CCATTGAGAATCTGGAAGTACAGAACAGCTGTTTCGTCCTAGTATGAGAAATTTACAAAGTTTTAATGAGAAGCTGTGACCAGTGGTGTTAAACCATGTACATGATGCAGTTACTCACTGAAAACAATATAAGTTGGCCGCTCAATGTAATGGATTTATTGAATTTAGATATTAACAATACTGAACCAGGGGTCTATAGGTCAAGCGTTCGTGCACATGACCGAGGGTCCTGGGTTCGGTTCTCAGCTGCAGGGTCGTGAGTGTGCAATGCTGAGGATGAGTACCATATTGGAACGAAACGGCCGCCCAGTGCTTCCAGGTTTTTAATGGTTGTCTAACTTAGACCGAATCATGATTTCAATGCAATCAAACCCAAAAATCAAGGGGATGACACTAAACTCAAACTTTACAGGTAGAGTAGTGGTCTGATGGTTGAATCGTATAGTTTTCAACTAGTGGCAGGTTAGAGATATACTCTAAATATTTCACTTCTGCCTAACCAGTAATATCACTAGTCATCACATAAATTGTAGCTTACTGTCGAGTACATATACCCACACTTCGTATATAGATAACGTACGCAATTTTTGGAAGATAAAAAATGAACCACACACACCAGAACAACTAATTTTGGATCCATCATCTCAAACCAAAAATTACAGTTATATCGTGGACAGCAACCTAGAATCCCACATCAAGCAATAAGTTTCTAGTCAACTGGCAATAAATTCACGAACTGATACCACATATATCTAGCATAAACTAGAAAGAGCTATTCTGATATTGAGCGCATCGATGATAATTCCGAATTTCTCGGTAAACAGTTATCATGTAAGAGTAAAATGTAGTAATATTCGCAGAGCACACAGATACAATTGTCGATTCAAATCCCGTAGTGATACAGGTAATAAAATTATAAGCGGTAATCGGAAAGATTAGGGTTTGAAGATGTTATTCAAGGAGTATAATTCAGTGAAATAAATTTGGAAAGAGAAAAAAAAGAAACATGCAAAATTCAAGAGATTAGAATTCGGGAGAACAAAAAGAGTGGATGCACCTGCGCTATTGCAAACCATTTTGAGCCATGTCATTCAAGGTCTCTAACCGTCGGTTGCTATCATCTCGTGGATCCCAACCAGGTAGTCCGCACCTACCAAAATAGCTCAGTCCACTTGTCAGTGACTACATGGATTTATGCCATGTTTTGGTCTGGTCTGTGCAACTCCTTGCATGTGTAAAGCATTTTCTTTTTCATGATCAGAGTACAGCACCACCTTTACTGAATTTAATCTTTTCTGTCCAGCTTGGGTCCGATGGATTTCACTGATTCCTAGCACCATCAAGTAATAACTCCTCATTTCTGCAGCTATCGCATTGGTCTTCCTGGTCTTCCACATTGTCTGAACACTTCATGTACCTATATTAATTTTTGCTCTGGTTGTTAGAAGAGAAATCAGTCTCGTGACTACCGAAGAACTCGGCTGCAGGTACATCCACCTGACGGGTACTGAATAAGACAAAAACGCGCATCCTGGACTCCACTGTTAGCCAACATCTATCTTTGCTCGTAGACCACAGAATGACTTTTTAAGAAGACGTAAAATAATTTCACAATATATTTTTGTAATGCAAAGCCATTTATTGACGTAGCTTTGCTAGCCTTCTGGTCAGATCTATTCAACAATTTGGGTGGGCGTTTTGATTAAGAGTTAGAGGAGCTCAACTATTTTAATACATGAAGGGAGAGAAATCACACTAAGATTAATGTTTTCGAAACATCAAATTTATAACAATATTTGAACCAAAAGTTAAAACATACGTCAGTAATTTATAAATATATCTTTATTATACATGACAGTTCGTTAAATAATTGTTGAAAATTTGATCTCACGAACGAAAATAACCAATGGTATATGGATAATCAGCCATGTTATTTTGGATCTGGTCGTGTACGTTATGCTGTTAGTATATACTCTCTATCTAACCAGTTTATTTACTTCACTCTTACCAACATCTATCTCGTAGAAATGAATTGTTACTTTCAAGTTAATCCCATGCTCCTCCTTGACTACGGTTGATTGAGCGTTGATGAACTATTGAGATATTATAAACTGATAGTTTCATGTCCTTCAGAATCATCATCTTAAATACTAATGTAACAGACTCAGAAGTTTTTAACAAGTAGTTAGCCATCTTTTTGTAAACAGTAGAGAAATGATAATATATGTAATTAGACATATCTATACTTAGGGCAATTAATTACTTATAAAACATAGATTAAAGTCTATGGTATCCCCTCATCATAAAGAAATGTCAGAAGAAATGAGAAAGATACTCAGTAAGTATGACATGAAAGTGTGTTTTTACTTAAGTAAAAAATCTACAATCAGTATTAGTCGAAAATAATGATAAAACGTAAAGCGGGTAAGAAAATTTTTGTATATGAACTGTAGCACAAGAAGCATTATGGTATCTGTGTTGAACGACCATCAAGGTAGTTTTGAATTTTTTAGTGTTGAAGATGCGTAAGCAATGAGTCAAGAAATCACAGGAACCTATTATCAAAATAAAAGTTCTTTCTGAACTGGCTTTATTTTCCCGAGCTTATCGAAATGTTAAATAGTCTATGAGAAGTTGAAAGTAGATTGGAGTGAGTACTAAATTCAATAAAAACAGGGTACACAACTTGGGAGGAAATTAAGTTTGTGTGTTAAGCCATACTACTTGTTGTTATTAAGTAGCTCAAGTTGCATCATACTATTTATAAACCACGCACTTGGGAACGAGTAATAACCTGTATCTTATCGAAACTTTAATACTACTATTTCGATATATTCTTGCAAACATACCATGATTTATTCTTTTACATCCTTTGAGAATCTATTTATTTAAGATAATTCATTTGTATTCCGTTGGTCGCTAATATGATATGATATACAATTAAGATGCAAATGCAAACATACTATGAAGCAAAACAGACCAGAGATAGTAGGATTTTGTAGGCTAGTCTATGTGCATTCTATGGTGCGTTTGAGCTGAAAAAGTCAAAGGACTGACTGAATGTCCTCTTCAGTAGGATATAACCTGTTCAACATAGTACAAGGAATGAGTTTTGAAGCGCATTAGGTTCTCTTTAACGCTTCGTGAAGTTTCAACTTAACCACTGACAAGAGATATAGTGGTCTAAAAAGCTTCTACAGTTTATATGTTGTTGCATCTATGTATATTGTCTGCCAATTTGTCGCCTTACACAAAAAGTAAATTATTAAAAATATATTTAAGAAACTGAGGTGGGATTTTTATAACACTAGCCCGTGAACTAAAAATCTACGTAAAATCAGATCCTCGAAATTGCTTTCACCTTCCAATTTTATGAAAACATTGTCTGTTGAACGAAGAACTTCAAAACAACGAACATCAAAAGAAAAAGAACTCGAGAGACTCAACCTTACTGTGCAATACTTATCATCTGAACACTCAACTTCAAATTACTTTTCACCAGTTATGTCATCGAAAAACTAGTCTTAAACCACCCTAACTCTATAGTATACTTTGAAATATAACCAGAAACCTCTATCTTTTGTATAAAAAAGCTAATCATTCAATCATCAGTTACAGCATTCAATATTTGAGCGTTTGGAAGCAACCGCCAGAAAGCCCTGAATACACACTTCGTACCAGTCGGCACTTATCAGCAAAGGTTTAATTTAGAAATAATTTATGCTGAAATGGTATAAACTAGGTTATTGTCGATCAAGTTTGTTACCTTACGGTCGGAACTATGCTGAAAAAACCAATACGTCTCCAGTGGTAAACTGAACATGAGCGTCGTAACGGTGTCATCAACTATACTATGGTGTTTATACAGTGTTGGTCGGCAGTGAAATTCAAAATCATCACAAAAAGCTCTGATAATAACTAATAAGTTCTGTTAGAAGAGGTGACTAAAATAAATAATTAACTCGCTCCATAGTGATCTCAAACTCGGAAGTGGGGGGTTTTGAAATCAGTTTCTCAACGAGAAAACAACAACTGATTTTAAGCAATTGATTCGCTGTACAAATTTAAACAAAGTAAAAACAACGATCTTGGGAGAAGGCGAGGAATTTATTATATTTCGTTGCCTTATCTTAAGCTACATACAAGTTAATAAGTTCAATTGTTTTCGACTATTAACAAAATGTTGAAAAGTGGATTGTCAATTGATAACAAATAAGTTGCTCGAAATGTGAAAGATGTTAAGAATTAACGTGTTAATAGGATTTTTATAAATACTTCGGGTGATAGTTCAAGGATATTTAAGGTAAAAAAAGATTTATAGGAACTCTGGCAAAAAAAGACGTGTGAGTTCAACTCACAATCCAGTGAGTTAGTCTGCATGCAGACGAAGAAAAAAGCAACAAAATACAGTGGATTCATAGTATTCTGAAAATATGGCCATTCTTGTTTTTTTCGAATACTTATTAGTTCCCAATAAGAAAAAAGTCATAATAACATTACTATCCGCCGCCTAAATAATATACGAAGTTGACATGTAATAAGTTACCTGATATATATATATATATATATATATATATATATATATATATATATATATATATATATATATATATATATATTGGCCAATAAACTTCGGTCAAAACCTAGAGCTAACCAATGTTTTTTTGACTTGAAACAACAATGAATATAAACACTTTGAAGGCAACAAATGTTATTTTGGTTGATAAAAAACTCTAAATTAACGAACCAGAATCCTTAATCCAATATATACTTTATACGCTAATCAGTATACTATACAGATGTAAAGGTACAAAAAAGGTGATCTTGAAAATTATTTTCTTGAAATAAAGTCAAAATATTTGTAGAATGGTAATTACAAGTCGGTGTATAAGTATGATCTAAACAGTAGGAATTTTAAGTTCTGGAGATAAAAAAGCAAAACATCAACTAACTCAGTAATAATACAATTTGCACAGTAATTTACAATAGAAATTAGTACATCATTCCATAATCAAAACAGACTTTTTTCTAATACTTGTTGGTGCTGAATCACTGAATAATGACATATGTAACGCCTTACGCCATTCTTTGAAAGGAATTTCTTCAAATGGTGAGGGTCTAATGAGATCTTCAGAAAACCATTTTGATAATTGGTCGATAGTAAGTTGTCTTTTTGAAGTGGACTGATGTAGATTAAAATTAGACAGCCAAAAACCGCGTAAACTGATATCTTTAAAAATGAATGGACCAACGGGTAAGGGCATTGGATTCCGTGTCATTCCACCGTATGTAACCATAGTCCCGGAATGACTTAGGTTTTTCACCAAGGTCGATGCAGGTTTCCCCCCTAAGCAGTTTAATGCAAGTTTGAAAGGGCCTATTTCTTTTGCTCGTTCCATGTATTCAGACTCTGTGAGACACCATGTACCTCCATAACTTTTAAGAAGATTACGTGTTTCTTCTGTGGCTTCAGGTGTATCTCTTTCACGAAACAGGTTCACTAAACACATAAAATATGAAGGCAGTGTCAAGATAAGTTGATAAAATAAATAAAACTCTCACCTGTATTAAGTCCTAATATTTTTGCTATTTGGATCACATATATTCCAACAGCACTAGTCGCACCATTTTGAATTAAAGTATCGCCCTTTTGAAGTTCTACAAAATTATTGAGTAAATGAAGTGCAGTGCTAGGATTAATTGCTAATGTTGCAGCATAAGATATCGGGATGGGATGTTTTATCTTCAAGAAACTGTCAGCTTTACCACACCAGTATGTTTGCCATGTCCCTGACGCTAATTCCAAAGGAATAACTGTATCACCTACGGAGAAACCATCCACGTTCTTCCCACACGCAATAATCTGATATGACAATAAATAACATTAGTGGTTTTAACTGTGACATTAAAACAGGTGGAAATTTATTGGTTTTTTGTAAACATGGTTCCAGCCTTTAGTACCGAGTATACAAAAATTCGTGGCTGTTTTTACGCCGAAGTAAATGCCAAAAAACTGTTGTTTACTGAAACCTTCAAAGGCATCTTACGTAAATCCACTCAAGTAACTGTTTCTAACTCATTATTATGTGATATATTTAGTCACTTTTATCAACACGTTTGTTTATATTATATACTTATTTATTTAAACACATGAACATTGGTACAAGGAGGTACCAAATATATATGCGCCACATAAATCATTCGATTTGTGTGAGGGCTGGGATACTGCCCGGGCGCTCAAACCAAAGCTAACTAACATTAACACTGCATTGCTTATAAGCAACAGTTTAAACAGATGGGATAGCATGCTTATAACTACAAAATTGACTATAAACCTACTAAATATGCTAGGCGACATGAGACAATGAAACATGAACACTATTTCCACAAAAATTCATCGGAAAAGTTTCAAATGGATACTTGATTTCCAAAGTCCATTGTGGTTCCAACCGGAATTGAACAGCAGGAGAGCTTAGCTACATTATTTGAATTATAGACTGCTCTACCGGTGACATATGTTTCAGTTCTAAAAGCAATTAGCCATAGATTGAACACTAAAGTGTGCCTAACTTAAAGCTGCACTTATGAACACAGTTGAAGGACGAAATGTCAGTAAATTAACCTTTTAAATGTTTGACACCAAAACCCAATAGAATATTATGGGTTTTGAGTAGAATGGTGATTTGGTGGTAAATGTACGTGCCAAGTATGTACTGATTTGATCGTTGGTTTTCCTACTATGATTTTTAGTGGTCTGACAAATTTTCTAGCCGTCAAAGTGTGGTTTAAAGTTAACTAAATAAGTTTGTACCTGGCAAATTAATTATACTAGCTAAAATCATGTAAAATGACTTCTCGATAAGTCAAAGTAGAATAGACGTTGTAATAGGTTACGTATGCCCAACGACCGACTGCCTCGACGTGCTATGTTCAGTGGTATAGGAGTAGGTTGGAAGAAAGCTAGGGGCGGCCAAACCAAAACATGGCACAAGTCCATGAAGTCACTGACAAGTGGACTGAGTCATGTCGGTAGGTGTAGACTACCTGGTTGGGATCCGCGAGACGATAGCAACCGATGTTTAGAGACCCTGAATGACATGGCTCAAAATCGTTTGCAATGGCGCAGGTGCATCCACTCTCTGGGTTCTCTCAAATTCTAATCTTCTGAATTCTTCATGTCCCTTTTTTCCTCTTTCCAAATTTATTTCACTGGATTATACTCTTTAAATAACATCTCCAAACACTAATCTTCCCGACTACTGCTTATACTCTTATTACCTCTACCACTATGAGATTTGAATCGACAACTGCATCTCTGTGCTAATGTGGTGTGGCAACTCGAACTGATGTACGTACGTACGAAGTTCTACGTTGTTACTGACTGACTGACTGAGGTTGATAATAGAAACAGGATTTGATGGAAACTAAAACACACAAATTATCATTTATTGTTGGTAACATACTACTCACAGAGTAATAATCATGCTTACTTTACCCGCACCTTCATTCCCAGCAACAGCAGGTAGTTTTGGTTTGATTGGATAAGTACCTTGTATCGTGTTGATGTCCGATGGATTAATAGGGGCCGCGTAAACTTTTACCAAAACCTCGTCATTTGCAAACGGATGTACTGGAGTGGATGAGAAACGTAAAACCTGTTCTGGATCGCCATGCTCAGTATAAGTGATAGCTTCTGAATGAACAAGTCTTTGCAGTAGATTCCATTTTTTTGAATTACAAAGAAAAGATGATCGTAGCATACTAATATTGAAGACCAAACGACGACGAACCTTTTTGTGTCAACAACTACAACGCAAATGATCACGATAATTAGCAGATTATAATACTAATTCCCAATTTGTACATATACGCTAAGTAATGTCAGTCAGCTCTGAAAAGTAAAAGCAGTACAACTTAGTTGAAAACTGCTACTACTGTTTGAGTCCAGGTCTTAGTTAAGTGCTAACACAACGTACAAGTTGAAGCTATTTTCTAATGATCAGTAAACTGAACCTCCAAACACAGTTACAGATTAGGCTTCCTTAGTTCAGGTTTTGAATACTATCGTTAATTAACCCGTACGGGTTCGCTACGTAGCAAATGTATCTTATGACGGAGTAACAGTCTGTAAGCTTACCAATAACGAGTTCTGTAGAAAATTTCAGTATAAACATCAAATCAAAGAAAACTCGTAGGATTGGTATATCGATTAGCATTGACAGTGTTCGTACGCATATATATGGCAATACTGCCATACTGTTAACAGTACCTTTTTCTAAAAATCATGGCTTTAAGAGCTTCTCAAATAAAAACAGCTGCTGTGACACATTTCACGTTTAATTAGTAGATATAGAATAAATATTCGAAGCGATGTATATAGTGGGTACATATCACTAGATATATCAGAGAATAATTATTATGATTCTGAAAAGTCACTGAACTGTCTAGCAAGATGGACAAACTGATCGCTCTAGATGAACGCTTATCCATTGGTGTAATGGACAGGCGTACCGAGCAAGTAGATAATTCAACTATTGCTTCCCCACTAAGAATGCATGAGGAGTTGTGTTCTTTTGAAGTTGCTTTAGATGAACTAAAGTTCTGTGATCAGCTCGTAAGTTGTAACACGTGTTTGAACAAATTTTAGGTGGCCAGATTGTACGAGTTCATATGTGATGACCCTCCCAAATCAGCAAAAGCCTGTCTAAGTCGCCGGAACTGGCGAACACGTACACTTTACACGGAACGAAAAGTAAATTTGGTATTAGTAAGAACAAATTTTACCGGACGGTTCAAAGTAAGTCCACACTACTGTATTAATATATTTGTAGGTGTTCTGTGTTCCCGATTCCGAAGTGCAACCTGTCCAGAAAAAGAAGTAATACACGTCATGGATCTTGCAAACCAGGCTTTCTTGCACGACGCAAGAGAAAAAGTAAGTAAGCGTGAATGGCGCTCCAAAGAAATGGTGAGCTAAAGGCACTTTACATGTTTGGTATAATACATATTGCACTTTTAATATTACTTTGTGATCAATATTTATACTGATACAACTTTTTTCTTGTCAGTAAAAAAGTTATTTCTTGTTCGTATTGCTTTCAGCTCGCTTCGCAAGTTTTAACAGACGTAACTGTAAGTTCTTTGTTCGCATTAATAACAACATTGTTATACCGTTGGTACGTCATTGACGTTTTACATATCTTGACATTTGCTTAGAAACCAAAAATATTTTCTTTATTTCTGTAGAACATTGTGAATGATAGTTCAACGTCTACGTAACCTGCTCATGTTACAAAGCAATAAAGAAACCTTGCATAAGTCAATGATTTGCAATTTTAGTTTCTATGTGTTACGAATCAGTCTTTTAATTACAGCGATAGATCGGTTAACGTTCAGTTTCTTTGGCACTGCGTAATTGACAAAAATAAAGTAACATCGCAGTGAAAACTGTAAATATGTATTTTTGCCTGACTTTTTCGTGATTTCCGTAGAAATTTTCGAAGAAGTATTGCGTGAAAACGAATTTTCAAAAACTGTTATAAGATTATGGTGAAATTTTGAGGAAAAGCGTAAACTTCAAGGTAAATTTTGGGGAGAAACTACAAAGTTAGAGGAAAATTTGAGAAAAAAACACAAAAAACAGGGGAAATTTCGGTGAAAAATCCCAAAGTCAGAGGAAATTTTGGGGGGGGGAACTCAGGATTTCCCTAAAATTTTTCACAATTTTGGGGTTTTATCAATAAATAAGCCCACTTCCCCAAAGTGCAATAAGATTATAGGAAAATTTTGAGATTTTGTGCCATTCCCCCTAAGTTTGCTACGGCGGATTTCCCAAAATTTCCCCAAAATGGGTCAAATTTTCCCCAAAATTTGGAGCTCGGGAACAGTGAAATTGCAGATATAACATGGCAAATGAACTGTAGCGTCGTATTCTTTATAATGTTCCACCTGACACTTGTCTATTTGAATTTTATTAATGCATACACTCCTACCACACTTCAGGTTTTACGAATAAGAAACAAATTAACCCACTTGGTAGCGCAAACAGACAGACCACGCGCTAAGTGGTTAAATTGAACAGATGGTTTTGGACGGAATACGAGTTCGGTGTTGTGCTGCTGAAGAAGAATAAAAGTAGGTTTCGCTTAACGTGCTTCCGTGTCTAGTAGTAGTGGATAACTATTACCTCCAGGCAGGAAACTAGGTATATTATCGATAAAAGAGGAAAAAGAAATTGGTAACTCACAGTACGATACCATCCTTACTCCTTAAGAATATGTCACGTTTTCTCTTGAAGGACTCCTGTGAAGTCGCTTAGGCTAGCTCAGCCGACAATGAATTCTAGCATTTAACTACTGTTAAAGAATATAAGTTGTGTTTACACTTTGCTCCTACTTACCAGTCAAGGTCGTGTGTTTACATTGGAATCTGCACAATTTTCGCCAACCCTATTTGTTATTGGTGAATATTCTTATGTTCAGAGTTCAGTCTCAGTCAAGCTATGTTATCGTGACAAATGTTAGTGTTTTACTGGATGAAAGGCATTGGTGTTTCTTCTATCTTGGCTGATTTTATTTTGATCGTGAATTTAGCATCAAAACTTCTGTTTTCAACATAATCGATTTTATTTCAAATAAATTATTCGTCAGGAGTATTGTTCTTTTCGTAAGTAATTTGTCATCAACACTTTTGAGTACATTTATTATTTTGGTTCTAGCAATTTACAGTTTTCCACTTCATCTGGTCATCAGTTGCTCCGGTCGTTGTAAAGTTTGCGTGTCGACTTTCCTCTGAAAACCTACAAATGATAACTGTACAGTGCTTGAAAAGCGATTGCCAACAGCCAGTCTCTTGATACTCTATAGAAAGTGGCCTGCAGTGAAATGAATTCGAACGATTGTTTCACTAAGTTTTCGTGAGTCTTTTAGGCGGGCTGGCAAAAATAGTTGCGTGTGGCCTTGTCAGAAGTGCCGCTCGGATGCAAACGGCTTGTTATCCGAAGTCACTACTATGGCAAATGCCAACCACGTCATCGATAATCATCCAGGATCTAACAGTGTGTGTGTGGTGCAACCGTGTTTGCTACTCCAATGGAAAATGATAAAATGTGTGCAAATCAAGAACAGGAAGCAACCTCGAGTTGCCAAAGAAAAGCCAGTTCTCCAAAAAGAAGCCGAAAAGTCGAGGACTGGTCACAGTGACAGGTCACCTGTCTTTCAGCGAGAATGAAAACTCAGAACTTGTTTTGAGCATTATATTGAGTTGATTAAACAGCAACCAAACCGGTTAATGCCTGAGGATATCTCCGAAGCCACCTTGCTAAACGTTTGTAGACTAGACAGCCAAACGAATTTGAAACAGAATCAAACCAAGCTGATAAAAGTAGTACTTAAATCTCCTGATGAAAAAGCTTATTACCACAGATAAGCAAAAGAGTCAAGAGTTTTCATTCGTAAACTCTTGACGCTTGCGGACAGTATAAAAAGACGAGAAGCTGAAAAAGAACTAAAACTAAGGTTAGATGCTGACGAGAAGGACCTAAAAATTGTAAATTTTCGAGTGGTGAGGATCCGACACAATGATGCCGAAGCCACCTTGAGTGGGGCTCGAAGCCATTCAAATGGTCTTCAGATCTGTTGCACAAATGATTGGAGCATCTCAACAAGCAACCGAATTTAGATGTACAGATAAGCTCGGACGAAGTCACAGTCACAGAAACTTAGCTGTCGCAGTCCATGTACAGTATATAACTTGGTTTTGAGAGTTTTATATTAGTTAGGGCTGACAGATTCTAAAAGCGTATAAAAAGAGGAGTGACTCTATTTATTAGAAAAACTATCTTTTTCACCGTTATTGATGACGTGTCGCATGAGAGCTATGCGCGTGAATTTGCTGCGTGGAATGAAAAGGATTGGTTGCCGATTGGTTTGGTCCAACCTGTGAGATGAATGAGGTCTTGGTAGACGATCTCTTGATAACTATCTCCTATATAGAAGCGATAGATTGAATGGACGAGGCGGAGGATGCCTTATTTACGCTCACTCCAGCCTGAACTCACTGCTATGTGATATGCCTGAACTAAACAAACTGAAGGATTCGGTGTGGATTGTATTAAAGCCGTCGAATCCCGTTACCTTACTGTTCGGCTGTGCTTACAGTCAACCTCACGCATCAACAGTGTTATCAAAGGTATTCATACCACCAACATCCCTTCCATTCACAGGCAAGCTTATTTGTGGTGACTTCAAATTGCCCGAAATTTCTTGGTTCTCAATCAAGGCGCTGAAACGTTACGAATCATTTATCCAATGTCTAGAGCTTGGACAATGGACTCAGTATGTCGATAGCCCTACCAAACATCAAAACATCTTAGACTTAGTCTTTACCAGTGGCCTCATCCCCAATACTTTGTATATTGGAAAAACGTTTCCAGGTAATGATCATAACATTGTCATATGCAGCCTTAATATAAAAACCACAACCGGTAGACGTAAAGCCGTAACACTTCGTAGAAACTATCACAAGATTGATTGGAATAACTTCCACAATTACCTAAGAAGCACTGATTGGTGAACTTTATTTACTGCAAACAACACCAGCACATTAACGAACATATTTTTTCTCAACATCAGAAGTACCATCAACAAAATCGTACCTTTAGGATACAGTAGACCTACGTTCTCTAAAGACCTCTATATATATACTAGCGCGAACTTTGAAAGTGGTAACGTTTTTTTCACGTGGTTTAGGAATTCTTCGA